AGGGAGGGGTGTGTGCAGTGTGTGCGATCCCCTTGACAGGCGCCTGGCAAGGCAACGCCACACAGTCAGGCCGCCGCTTCTCCTTGGTTTTTGGCTTGGTTGTGGAGACAAACGCTGGTCGGGGGGGCGTTTCAAGGATGCAGCCGCTTTGCCGTGTGGCCCTCTCGCACCCTCCCCCCCACCAACAGCCCCACCCCGCCGCATGCCGCTCCCTCCCCCCCAGGCACCTCCCTGGAGGACAACAATGTGTTCAGCGTGCAGCCCACAGTGTACTTTGAGGGCCAGGACCCCACTGTGGAGGCAGCCAGCGTCTACTCAACGGGGCCGGCCGCTAAGCTGGACCCCGCCACCGTGACTGTCGGCATCCTGGCAGTTGGCATCGTGGGCGTCGCGGGCACAGCCACAGCGCTCTACTACGAGGTGCGGGCCCAGGCTGCTCGTGTGGTTTGGGGGGGGGGGTGTAAGGGCGGCTGGTGGGCGCAGCGCGGGGATGTGGTGTGGCGCAGCGGCGCTTGCGAAATGGCGTGGCAGGAGAACGTGGGTGGGGCTGAGGGAGCGCCCAGACCTGAAGAGCGGCTTTCCACCAGGATGCCAAAAAACAGTCGTCTAGCCACCCTGCAACACGCTGTGATTGCTCGCTGACATTCTTGCGGCTGCACCCACCTGATTCGCGCTCTGTGCGCAGAGCGTGGCCGCCCTGGCTGGGTTCTGGGTCGTCCTGGGCGGCCTGGCGGCGGTGGTTGGCTTCAACTACGTCAACAGCACTGTCAAGGACGACGGCTCCCCGCGGCAGTGATGCGGGCGTGGGCTCGCCCGGGTTTTTGTTTGAGTGTGGTTTGCAGAGGGCTTGAGAAACGCACCAGCCTTGCGGCGGCGCCGCCTCTTTTGCTGGAGGTCGAGCGCGGGCTGGCGCGCAAGGTGGGTCTACCCTCGTCGCGGCAATTTTGGGTGTCCGCCCCGTGAGGTGTGAGGGCCTGGCGCGCTTTCAGTTGTGGTGTGGGGTGCTTGTGGCGAAGTTCGGCCACTGCTTGGGGGGGCGGCAATGAGATCGCCATCCGCAGGGTCAGCACCCTGAGTATATGCTTGCGCTGACATTTGATTGCGATATTGAACGCAAGGCCAGCGCCATCCCTCTCCCCCCAAAGCAATTCCCCGCCCTCTGAACTTTTGGCTGCAAGTGTTTGCCAGTTGGCGCTGTGCTATGCTTTCGAGAGCGAGTTGCTTGTCATCCATCGTGTAATCACTGCTTTGCCGGGTGCATTGCAGCAGAGTTGTGCAACATGCATAGAAGAAGAGATGCTGTGCAGTAGAAGGATAGCAAGACGACTGTTATTCAATTGTCTCCGCTGCTCATGAGGCTGTGGCTGGTCAAATGATGCCACGTCTGCTGGTGCTGGTGATGCTTTGCTGCTCTGCCGCTCTGCTGCTGTTGCTTCTGTCACAAACAGATCTTTACATGGCTGTTCAAGTGGGTTTCAGTGACAAGTGTATCCAGTGGACCCCAAGCACGTGCGAAACCGACAACTTCCTTTCCAGGGACTGAATACAGGACTTGGGCATGCAATTCAATGCAAGGGAAAAAAACAGGGACTGAATACAGGACTTGGGCATGCATCTCAATGCAAGGGAAAAAAGGGTAGAGGAAAGTCAAGAGGCACCGGTGTGCATGGAAGCGATTAGGTGCCGCGGTCTGTCATGCGTGCGCGCAGCCGCGCTCATGCCCGCGCACATGCTAGTGCGTACTTGGTTGTAATTGCTGCATGCACAGGATGCATACCGTGCGTACCAGCGAAGGGCAACTACGCAGGGTTTGCGCCATCCTCCAGAGACCTCGAGGCGCAGGGCTGTGCAGTGACGCTGCGCCATCACAACACGAGGCGCACCGAATCCCGTGTAGGTTCGCCCAGACCTGAGGCTGCAGGGGTGCGCGCTTACAGGCATGATTTCAGACGTTCTCAAAGCCCACACCCAGCCCGTCTCATGAAAAGCCAGCCCGTCTGTTGAAAGTGCACTTTTGAGTGCACGTTGCTCGTGGTAGCTGCAATCAGCAAGCCCTGGTACTTCGTGCCAGGAGCCCGCACTTCAATGATAGAATCGCTTCCCTTTGCAGCCAGCAGCACTGCCAGCAGCCACTCTCAACCGGCAGGCTTCCAGCAGGAGGCTCCAGGGCAGCGCCGGGTCCCTCATTCCCAAAACATCATTTGCCCCGGGCCCCGCCCCCACAACGGCCCTGCCGGTGCCCGCCGCCGCTCCCGCAGCAGGCGAAGCATGTTGCCCCAGACAGAGATGGCATGTGGGGCCACGAGACACGAAGAAGATGACCAGCTGGTCTGGCCGCAGGATGGAGGTGTATACGGTCAGCATGTGCACGCACACTGATACCATGTTCGAGGTCAGGCCGGCGCTGATCTGTGCAGCAGCGACGCTCAGCCGGGTGCTGTCCTTGGGTGCGTCTATGCACTGTGCTAGAAGGGCGGCTCACTCCTGCCTGCCGAGGCGGACACGCCCTTCCAGGTCCTGTTGTGGTGCGAGGGGGAAGTGGGGGGCGGGATTGACGATTGCGCGACACGATGGCCGCCTCTCATATGTGTGCACAGCATGCAGGAGCCGCGTCGCCACAATCCGCGAGTGTCCTTCACAAGAGCCTGGGTTACGAGGGGCAGGCAGTGATAGCATCTGCGCAGCTGATGAAGGAGCACGCTGGACAGCACAACGTGCCTGGGGGACGATGCGGGTGCTGCATTCCGCCATCCATCCATCCAGCCAGCCAGCCAGCCAGCCGGCCAGCCAGCCAGCCAGCCACGCCGCATACATCTGCCCCAGCTCCCCTGCACCGTGGAAGCTCAGGGCTCATGACCTGTGCTCAACGTGCCTGCAGCAAGCTGACATGTCTACACTGACGTTTTCTGGGCCTCTTTGCTCGTGTGACGCATGTCGTGTTGTGCGAGGTGGCGCGCATCTATCTGTCAGGAACCCAACAGCCACCAACAGGTCCGATTGATGACGTGCAACGCCACTGCCTTGTTGAGCCCAGTAGACCGACCCCTGCTTGGTGACATTCTCAAAACATATTCCTTGTAAAAGGGAGGCTGCCTGACACTGGTCAGAGAGCGGCGATCGCAGCGGCAGCAGCTCGTGATCACCACCTGCGGACAGGCCTGTGAAAGGGCAGCGCATACGCCGGGCAACATGGCCTTATGCAACAAACATCCAGATTGATCAGAGTTGAAGAATTCATCCCCCCCAGATTCTCCCTTTGGGGTTTGACCACTTGGCCGTGATCAGCCGCGGGCGCAGCGGCTGCTGCTTGACATGATGATTGCGTTCCTTTCGTCACAACGGCGTTGACACATCGCTACTTGATCATGACATGACCACGTTACATAGTTTGCCTTTGTCCGGTCTGTTGAGCACCACGTCCGTGTGCTCGCGGTCTCCAAAAAACGCGCCTTTGCGCGCAGTACAACTGACAGGGCGATGAGAAGATAGCGCTCGGACCTGTAAAGTACTCCGATCGGCGTTGGCGGGGCCAGGGCCCGGTCAATTGACCTTGGGCACAGCACATACAGCAGCATGCAGCTCTCCCAGGCTCACGTGCCTGCAGGCCTTGCGCGGCAGTACCAGCAACTGCAGCATAGAACCCATGACAACAATCGCGTAGTGCTGGCTGACCTGCAGACTCGCACGATCTTGAGAGAATCGCTCTACTATGCGGACAGCAGCCGCGCAGCCGCGCTGCCCCAGCCTGTAGTGCAGATGCTGCGCAGCGCCGGCGACGCCGCGCTCATCAAGGACTGCTGGGGGATCTTGAATACCACGGCGGCGTCCATGTATCAGACACACCAGTACGTGACAGCAACATGTAGACTTTTCCACTCAAAGGCTTCGGAGATCGTCACTTCCATCCGCAAAACCAACGCGCGCGAGGACGACACCAGTGGCAGTGGGTGGGGCACGGGCGATGCTGGCGGCAGCGACAGCAACAGAGGTGGTGACGATGCCCCTGGCAGCCAGGCAGACGATATTGATGTTCGTGGCAGGGATAGCAGTGGCGGTGGCGGGGGCAGCGGACGTGGCAGCTACGACGGTGGCAGCAAGGAAGGGCCCAGCAACAGCGGCAGCAGGGGTAGCGGCAGCGACGGCGACGGCGACGGATGCGACTGCGGCGCCAACAGGGCGGCAGCGCCCCTCAGCGGCATTGACGACGGCGGCAACGCTAGCGAAAGGGCGCGCAGCGGCTCTGCCATGGCGGTGCCCGGCGCCGCTTCTGGCGGTGCCGCTGGGTGCACCCCTACGACCGGCCTGTGTCAGGAGCTGTCGAGGCTCGAGAACGCCGCGTCTGCCCTGGCCGACTACGCCCTGGCCAACGGCGTGCTGCACCTGCGTGGCCGCGAGATGGACGGCCTGCTGATCTCGGTGGAGCTGTACGCGGCCCTCTATGAGGGCCTCACTTGCAGCAACCGCGCCCGCGCCACGGCAGGCGCCGCCCTGGTGCGGCGCGCGGTGGGCTTTGCGGCGGACAACCGCCCCTGGGCCGCGCCCGTTGACCTGGCGGCCTTCCGCGACGCCGTGGAGTCCCTGACGCACTACTCGGCGGTCGTGCCCGCGGACGATGCTGGCTGCGCGGAGCTGCGGGAGCACGCGCGCTTCTGGACACACGTCCAAAGCATGGCGTCTCAGGCGGGCCTCAAAGCGCTGGACGCCGCGCTCGCTGACCGGCAGCAGACCAGCGCCGACGCTGAGCGGGCGCGCACCTGCGAGCTGCTGCAGCTCCCTGGCAGCGCTGAGGAGCTCTTCAGCGCCTTCTGCAGCGCCATGGCCGCGGGGCAGGCCGCCGACGCGGCGTTCAAGGGCGGCGCAGCCGCTCGGAAAGGGACGATGGGACTTGGCCTGGGAGGCCGGAAGTTTGCAGCAAGGGCAGCTGCCGCCGCCCAGCGCGAGCAAGCAGTGCTGCAGGCGGCCGCCGTGGAGCGGGCGCGCCTGCTTGAGGGCACCGCCACCCCGCAGCAGGAGATGGAGCGCATTGAGCGGCTAGCGCTCCAGCTGTGCATCGCCGCCCGGGCGTGCGGGTCTGCGGAGACATCCTCGCTGCACGGCGGAGCCTATGTGCAGCGCTGCTGCGTGGAGAGGCTGTTTGAGATGCTGCGGGGGGGCGGCGGGGCCGCCGCGGAGGCGTACGATGCCCTAATTGTCGCTAGGGAGCAGATGGCCGGCAGCGGCGTCTGCCTGGGGCTTTGTTGGCACGAGAGCTGCCTCTGCCTGGGATGCGGTCGCAGCTTGGAGCCTGGCGAGGATGGGTTCGCGCACGTGCGCACATGTGCGCCGCACAACTCGCTTGGAGATCTCGGCATTGAGGACGCGGCCGAGCGCGCCGGCATCGCGGCCATGGCTCACGCGGTCGAGATGGTTCAGGGCGAGCGCGAGGCTGTCGCGGCGGCAGACTGGCTCAACTCCCAGCTGGGCGGCGGCAGCGGCGGCGGCGGCAGCAGCGGCGCCAGCGGCGGCAGCGGCGGCAGCGGCTGCGGCGGCAGCGGTGGCTGCAGTGGCTGCAGCGACAGCGGCGGCATCGGCGGCAGCAGCGGCGGCGCCCCGGCACAGGCGCCTGCAAACGATTGGAAGCCGCCGTTTGCGCGGCGCCAGCAGCTCGTTGCACTCATAAATTGCGAGCTCGCGCCTGTAGGCAAGGTGGGGGAGCGCAAGGCGCGGCAGCCCGGGATTTTGAGCTCAAATGGAGCTATGCTGTACACCGTCCACATCAACGCCTTCGACACACACCACGGTGAGCAGGTTTGACGAGCTTTGCCATGGTTCTGCAGAACCCGCTGCTGCTTTGACCCTGCGTGGATGCGTGGTGGTGCCTCTTCAGCAGTGGCAAGTGGTGATAGAGCTAGGCGTCCAGCCCATATCGCCACCATGTCAGCTTTACAAATCCGACCCCCTTCAGCTGCTCCCGTGCGCCTTGGCTGCACAGGCCTGTTTTTCCTGCGGCATGCCAACCAACGTCCGGCGCCTGGCCAGTGCCACCAGCAGTGGCGCGAACACCGGGCGGCCAAACAGCAGCAGCTCTTGGAGTCGATGGATGGACCTGGCGCGCATGAAGTGGCACTCGAAGCTGCAGTCGTGAGTTGTTATGGGGCGATGGCGAATGTGTGTGTGTGTGTGTGTGTGTGTGTGTGTGTGTGTGTGTGTGTGTGTGTGTGTGTGTGTGTGTGCGTGCGCGTGCGCGCTTTGGGTTCTTCAGGGTCGCTGGGAGCCCAGCGCTGCATGAGGGGCGCTCAAAGGGCAGCCACACGCGTCCGCGGGGGGGTTGGCCTTGGCCTTGTGAGGTGGTGCAGTGGTAATGTGCCAAGCGGCCCGTCTGCCCTCCAGCTCAAGCACGTGCCCTGTGCCGACAAAGCGCTCCCTGGCTGGCATGCCCGTCACACGCAGGTTCTGGCGCAGAGCCGCGCGGTTGGCGTGTTTGGCTCTGGCATTGGCCCGGGCATGGAGGATGTGTGTGCGCTGGGCATGTGCCCGGCAGACAAGCGCGGCAGCCTCAGCACGTTTGACCTGCAGGCGCTGCACACGTTCCAGGCGGTAGTGCCGCCGTATGGCAAAATCGCCCAGATGCCCGTGATTGAGAACAAGGGCCTGGCCTACGCGGTGGACCTGGTCAACCCTGACCTCAGGGTGCACCTGCATGACACGCAGAGGGCGGCAGCAGCGGCAGCAGCAACAGCGCAGCAGCAGCAGCCGGCGCAGCAGCAGGGCGCATCCGGTGCTGCGCCGGCGCTGCCCCGCGGCGTCGCCAACATCGGGACGCGCAGCGCGCCGCTCAACTGCCAGGGCGCAGCCGCAGCGTTGGCGTTTGTGGCGGGCCTGAGGCGCGTGTGGGCGGTCGAGCGCGGCATCGACCTGGCCGCAGTCGACGCGGCGGACTGGGAGCAGCTGCGGCGCTTGGCGGCGCAGTACGACTTGGACGCCCAGCAGCGGGGGCGAACGCAGCTGGCGGCAGACATGAGCGCCGCAGACGCGGCGGAGGCAGCGGCGGCGGACGCAGCGGCGGCGGCGGCGATGGCGGCAGCAACATCGGCGCGCAAGACGTTCCCCGTCAACAGCCCGCCGGCCAAGCGGCAGCGCAAGGAGTAGACAGTCGGGGCGCGGCGGGGTTCTCCCCTGTGACCATGTTGGCTCGGCAGTATCAACACAGGTCTTTGGTATGCAGGCACATAGGATGAGACTGCATGAGAATGGGTCGTTCTTTGGGCTAGGCGGCTGGAGAATGCATGTCAAGCTGCGGCGGCCATGGCGTGTGCTGTCACCCCGGTATCTGTGGATTGCCTGATTTTCAAAACTCCGCACGTGCCTGTGTGTCTTCTCACGCACTTCAAGCATGCACAATTCACCATCCACCAGTCTGCCCACCCACAAACAAATGCAAAATAGACCAGAAACCGCGTGCGCAACACGCCGTGTATGCTGCTGCGCATGTGTGACGCCCCTGCCTGCTTTGTAATCCTGCCCGCTCTTCAATTGCAGCAGGCCTCTCGCGACAGCACAACACACAGTTGTGCTGCTTGTGCTTGCGCGCAGCAAGCTACTTTTGCGATGACGTCGTAAATGCATCCTGCAGGCTCGACGTTTGCTGCCCTGCTGTAGTTGCCTCGCTGCCATGTGGGCTGGGGAGCTGTGCGCCAGCAGCCACCATTACACAGGGCAGCACAGGGCGGTGTGGCAGCGCTAGCGCCCTAGCGTATGTAAGGTTGAGAACGCAACGCACTTAGTCACACGCGAAACTGGCACTTGGTAGCCGCCCAACACAAAGAAGCCACAGCGCAAACATCCCCAGGCAGGTACCGCCTCCAGGGGTCTAGACGCCAGCATACCCGCCGGGGCGGGAGCCTGGCGCAGTGCGTGGCGCTACGTAGCATGCTAGACGGCTTTTATGTCGTTCACATTTGAGCTGCTCTTCCACCAACATGCCTCCCCCTAGCTTGGTCATCGCCTTTCCCCCTGCTTCCCAAATGGCACACTGTCTGCCGTGCCGCCGCCGCTGCGGCCGCCGGTGTCATCCTCAACCGGCGGCCGCTCCCGTGAAAACGGCGCATGGCCCTTCTCCAGCAGCGCCTGCAGCAGCAATGGGAGTGGGAGGAGGGTACATTTGCGCGCGCGTGTGTGTGTGTGTGTGTGTGTGTGTGTTGGGGGGTGGGGGAGAGGACTGGGACGTCGGCAAGATGGGAGGGAGGAGATCCGGGTGTGAGCGCGTGTGTTGGACGACAATCGTGATGACTGAAGGCGCCGCATGGTGGGGCGGCGGCGAGCGCGCTGAGGCACACAGCTTGGCGCCAAGGGCCGAACATGAGCACAGACCAGCGCCAAGAGAAGGGTGGGGCTGTGAAGGGGCGAGCCACTGTGAGCAGGACCTCGCTGATGCCGCCTGCTGCGCCCTTGGAGCAGCATTCTCCCGCCCGCTGCGGAAAATGTGTTGCATTGCTGGACCAATAACACTGTCGCACAACACTGCCAACAACATTGCCACCATCAACACCGGCTCGTCCAGCAGGCGGCTGATGCCGCAGCCCACCATCTCAAATTCGTCCGCCTCGAAAAAGTGGCCGCAGGGCCCCACCACCACGGCGGCGTCAGGGTCCATCAGCCTGAACCACTGGGCTGGCAGGTGGGGGCTCGGCCAGCGGCGCACCAGGACCTCGCCCGCAGGGAGGCGCCGCAGGGCGGCGCGGTCGAGACGGATGGGGGCGCGCGGCACCATGGCCTGCAGGCGTGGGGGACCAGCGGGCGTGAGGAGTGCGCGGAGGCCTTGACGAAATGCAACAGCGCGGCCCCAGCGGCTTGAGCACGGCTGTGCTGACTGCCTGACTCACAAGCCGCAGGGAACAATTAGTCTTTGGTCCTTTTAACGGCCACTGCCCCCACCTGCACTGCCCAGGTCTCCTCCAGCTCTGATCCCGCGCCACCACCAACACCACCGGCACCGCCGCCTCCGCCGCCGCGCCCCGCAGGACCGGGGCGCTCGTCCAGCGTCAGCACGTTGGCAGCGCCCCCGGCCCCGCCGCCATCGCCGCCCTGGTCCATGGCCGGGCTGCTGATACGAAGGCAGGAGGGGGAGGCCGCGACGCTTGGCTGTGGGACGATTTGCCCCCGAACAAGGCAAGGAGCACACCAAGGACCACGGGTCATGCCCATGGCTAGACTGCTGATGGCTCCGCACAATGCACTGCTACGCCATCAGTGAGGCATGGCACACGCAGGCATGGCCCACAGGTTGAGGCACACCTGCTGCCAGCCGGGCCCGCCACGTCCCCAGCACCCTCCCCCACCAGCGCCTGGGCAAGTTGAGGCGGTGGTACAGCGCATGATGTGGCGGTGATGCTCGCCTGTGGTTCCCAACTCTGACTGGTGAGGGCTGTTTTGCCGTATTCCAGCAGCAACAAATCTTGCATGTGCACGTACACCCCCTCCCCCCCCCCGCATACCCACCCTCACAGCATCACCAGCAAGGTGTGCACTCACACCGTATGTGTCCTTCAACCAACCACAAAGCCAGGCAAGCGAGCCGTCCCGCCCCACGCACGCACGCTCACCTGTGCCTCGTCATCGCTGATGCCGCCCTCCAGCTCAAACTCCACCAGTGGCAGCACATCCCACGTCAGGGGGGAGTACTGGAAGGACGCGCCACAAGCCACACAGGCGTCACCCTGGCGTGCGCACGCGTGTGTTGGTGCATGTGAATGCAGGCAGCCCGTGGCCGATGCGTGTGCGCTTTCCTGTCCTGCAATTGCCTGGCTGTGGTGACGTACAGGGAGTGCGCGTCACTGCAAGACATTCGATGTGAAGCCACTGACTTGATCCATTCCTGTTCTTGCCTGTGGGCCAACAATTGGGTTGGTTGCGCCGCAGCGGTGGCAGGCCGGCGCCAGCTCCTCTGCATCGGCAAAGGGGCGGCCCCTGATGATCACAGACTGCAGGTCCACATCCGCCTGGGCATCAGGAGGCAGTGCCAGCGCCTGCACGCAAGCACGTGCGTAGTGAGCAAACAATGTCCAATTGTTGAGGTGAGAGGGGCTGAGCAATGAAATTGATTTGAAAGACACGCTGGCAAGTACAAAGGGCATGGCCTGTTCCAGGGTCCAGGGGTGAGACTGCTGCAAAGGGTGCCGACGAGCAGGTCAGCCACACTCTCCCTCAAGGGAGGTAGGTGCACTGAAAAAAAGGCAGTGCCTCTTGGTGGAAGCACCTGGCCTTTAGACATGCATCACTGAGTGACAACGAGCCCTTCCAAGGCGCACACACCTGCAGCTTGCCGTAGGCGAACCGCGCCAGCTTGAAGGCGCCAAACCCGACAGCCCCCTTGGCCAGGGCCAGCAAGGCTGTGGCCAGGCTCACGCCGGGCGGGGGCGCCTCGCGAGGCAGCAAGCGCGCCGCCAAAAATCTGGGGCGACAAGCGGGGTACAAGTTCGGCCGGAGGCAAGCAGGCACACTCGCGGGTGATTTCGGCAATCATCTTTGCATCATGTCAGGTTTAATTGAGCAGCAGGCAAGCCAGTGAACCCACCAGCACAAAAACACACGGCAAATGGCTTGAGCCACACTAAATGGCCTGCACCCAGATGACGCCTTCTTGCGCCGCCCACCTGGCAGCCCCGAAAAGGGTGGTGTCTCCCGATGTCCTGAAGGGCCGCGCCGCCGCCTCCGCCACAACCTCGTAGGCCGCGTACACCTCGGACGTGTCGTAGTGCCTCGAGAAGCGCGACAGGGCGTCGGCGTCGGCGGGGGACAGCGCGTGGGGCGGGTGGGTGACGTCCTGCGATGGGCGGGTAGCGGGCTGGAGATCGTGAGGGCGGCTGCCAACGGGCGCAAACCACAAACTCACCTGTGTGCCAGCCTGAAGAAGGGTGGCACGCTCAAAGGCTGAAATTTACGGCCAAAGCGCGGCAGTCAAACCGCCGCAAGTCCAAGATCAGCTAATCCATGATGATGAAGACCCGCGCCGCAACTGACACCCCCAAATACAAACACCTGCACAAACACACACCATCAATTACACCACCTATAACCACACACACAGACACACACACGTGCGCGCACACAAAAAAACACATACAGACACACCTGCAGTGCGTCCATGGCCAGGCGGTAGTGGGTGTGTGCCGCATCCCCGAATCGCCGCTGCCGCACTGCCGCCTCCGCCAGCCCCTCCAGCAGCCGCTGCGCCAGGTCGGGGCGGCCGCCGCTGCGGTACGCGGCGCGCGCATCATCAAACCTGCGGGGTTGAGGGTGGCGGTCCTTTGAAACCGTGCCATTCCAGAGTGGATGGGGAGCAAAGGCCGCCGAACTGAGGGGCGTAATCGACAGGCTGGTTGGGTGCAGCAAGATGCGGGTGGCCAGGCGAGCTTCAGCCCTTTCTAGAGCGGCGGTGCGGCCCCGCACCTGTCCCGCGCCGCAAGCCACGCCGCGTGCGGCAGGTGCACCCGCGGCGCCAGCTCCGGGCGCGCCACCGCCAGCAGTGCGGCGTCCTCCCAGCGCCCCGCCGCCACCGCCAGGTCAGCGAGTCCCGCCTGGTCGTCCAGCTTGAGGAGGGCCTCCTTGGCCGCCCCATACTGCCCCGCCTTGCGCAGCGCGGCCGCGCACTGCGCCAGCAGCGGGGCGTCGCGGTCGCGCGAGAGGGCGCGCACGAGGGCGAGGAGGCGGTCCCACCAGCCGTGGCGCACGATCAGCGCCAGGGCGCGGTCGTAGCGGCGGGCCTGGGGGGGGGGGGGAGGGGCGGCACAGGGGTGCTGGTGTTGGGGCGACCTGGCCTTCAAGAACAGATACGGCCAGCAGGCGGGGTAGATACACGTGAGCCGTTCATGGGGTTGGTTTCAGCCTTTGTGCCGAGGCTGATCTGAACCCAGCTGCACCACACCTGACACCCTGCACCCGCCCACCCCCACTCTCATTCCTTCTCGCCCTTTTCCCGACCCTATCCCTGTTTGCCCCTCTTCATGCC